TATATATATATATAAAGGAATTAATAATTTAAATTAGGCAATTTTGCGAAGTTTCGGCTACATTTTGGCTCCCCCCCCCCGAAGACCTCAAAAATGCGGACGAAAGATGTTTAACAAGAAATTTTTAGCTAATTTTTAAGTATTTTCTTTAATTATTTAAGATTTAATTGAATAAAATTCAGCAAATTGCCGAGTAATTCCGTCAGCACTTAGCTCCCCCCCCCCCGTTGGGATGGGGTCAAGCGAAGTATCTCCCAAATCACAAAGTCGAAATAAAGTCGACACTCCTTTGTTGTAGAATTTTAAATAATTATTTTAATTTAAAATTGATTTTAAATGACAAATTATTACTTATAACAAATTTACAACTTAAATTATTTAATAAAACAAAATTTCCAATATTGATTGATTTCAATTTGGTCCCCTGGATTTATACAAAATTTTCTCATCACCGGCCGGATAGAAAGACTTGTATCTGGCCGGCTACGCACCGCTCTTCCCCAACTTAGGGTTAGGGTTTCACCCTAAGTAGGGTTTCCCCCAATTAGGGTTTTAGGGTTTTGCGCGCCACCGCACGCCACCACGTCCGACTTCTCTAGGCAGAAATTTTTCCGTCGGTTTATAGTCAGTTAAAAGCCGGGTTCCAACGGATCACTTTTGCCGACTTCTGATTCCTTTTTATTTTTATACAAATACTAAGAAAATCACTAATTCCTCTTAATTTTTCCTTCTTTTCCTGTCTGTTGGCGGTCACCACTCGTTCTAACGGAGTCCGTTTTCCCCACTCAGGTCTCAAAATGTCGGGAAAAATACGACGACCAACTTTGGTCCGGGCGAGGTTCACCTAATTTCGCTTCTTTTCTTCGTAGTTAAAATAAAAGGAAATTCATGATTTTCGGAATTTTAATTAGAAAAATACAAAAATTTCTATATCTCCTTTTCTAGCCATTAAAATTTTTAAAAAAATGTCTCAAAACGTTCCCCTCGACGAGAGGTCGAACGTTGCCCCCCGTGCGCCTCGCGCAAAAACGCGCGGATCCGGAGATATCGAAAAAAAACGAATTAAATATTTAGACTCATGATTTTATGAATTTTTAATTAGAAAATATAAAAAATTTCATATCTATTTTTCTAGCCGTTAGAATTTCTCAAAAAACGTCTCAAAACATTCGCCTCGACGAGAGGTCGAACTTTGCTCCCAGTGCGCCTCGCGCAAAAACGCACGGATCGGGAGATATCGAAAAACAACGAATTAAATATTTAGACTCATGATTTTAGGAATTTTTAATTAAAAAATACAAAAAAATTTATATCTCTTTTTCTAGCTGTTAGAATTTCTTAAAAAACATCTCAAAACGTTCGCCTCGACGAGAGGTCGAACTTTGCTCCCGGTGCGCCTCGCGCAAAAACACGCGGATCGGGAGATATCGAAAAAAAACAAATTCAAAAAATATCAAAAAATGAAACTGATCAAGGAAATGAGATAATTAGTGCTTGTACTCATCAGCCCATGCACACCCCATTGATCGGGGAAGGCCGCGGCCTTGGGGGTGCAATCCCCTCCCCGGCAACGGCGCCAAAGTTGTGAGGAAACCCGGGGAGGGGCGCCCACTTGTTGCTGAAGCCAAGGGCAACGGCACCTGTCACTCGCCGTGCCCGCTTCCGAGGTCCTCAGCGACCAGCAGGAAAGCCTTTTGTGTGTTGTCTGTCACCCGTCTTGTTTTAAACAAATTACATTGTTTTGTTCAAATGCTGTTTCCTTCAAGATATCTTGGAATCCACGTGAAATCTGATCAGGAGTGCTTTACTCTTGTGCTTCAGGGCAGTCCGTTAAAAGAGAGGAACGGGATAATACAATTAAATAAAAGAACCGAGTGTTGAACAAGGCACTATTTGACCGACTTTCAAATGAAGAGTACACAAACAAACAATGAAGTGGCAGGTTAGGGGAGGGGGGTTTATTCCCTTTTTCTATTTAGTCCAGCCACGTGAAAAGCTTCAGAGTAAGCCTGTTTGCACATAGGTCGTTTTTCAAGTGTATCTCTCTATTCCTTTCACTCTCTTAGTCTCTATGTGTGAACACTCTCCCCCCTTCTCTTCCTTTGTCCCTCTTTTACTCACTCTACCTTTCTGCGCACCTCCCCTCTCTCGCTTACTCTTCTCTCTTCTTTGACATTACTCGCTCTGTCCCCCTCGCTCGCTTTCTCACTTCGTCTCTCCAAATTCTCTCTCTCTCTCTCTCTCTCTCTCTCTCTCTCTCTCTCTCACTCGCGGGATAGCCCCCCCTTGCGCTCGAGCAGATTGTAACCAGGCTGGCCCAAAGTCACAAATAATATGTTCGGTTGAGAAGCTTTCAATCGGCCAGCATTGGATTCACCAGTAATACTCTGAATGACAATTTGAAAACGACTCGGTTGGAAGTTTAGGATGACACCCTCGTCCGTGTTGACCTCGATCGATCCAAAACAAAGTTCCTTAGAATGCCCTTGATTCGGCAGTTTGTAGACGATCAGCCTCTTGAGTCCCGGGAATTAATTGAGTTTAAGTCGTACAAACATATGA